TCTCAGCCTCCTGAGTAGCTAGGATTAGAGGCATGAGCCACCAGCACCCAGCTTCGTTTTGTTTTTAAAGGGAAGTCACAGAAAGTAGAATAACTGCATTGGTTTACAAGGGCTTTCATAACAAAGCATTACAAATTCAGTGGCTTCAGTAACAGAACTTTGTTGTCTCACAGTTCTGGAGGCTAGAAATCTAAGTTCATGCTGTCAGTAGAATTGATTCCTTCTGAAGGCAACAGTGGAATTTCTAATTTATGTACATTTTGTAACTTTTGATAGCTCTCATTGATCCCAACAAGCATTATTCCAATGTTCTGCCTTCATCTTCATATGGTATTCTATTTCCTGATTTTTTTTCTTTTTTATAAGGATTAGCAACCACTGCAGACACTGAAGTTGATTATTTCTGTGAAGATCCTTATCTCCAAACAGGATCTTTGTTTCAAAGCTAACCTGGCAAAGGGTAAAGTCCATGAAACGCTTCCCTTCAATTAACCAATCAACCACTTAGAAGCCAGAAGTGGAGCTGAGTCTTAAGTGGTAGAGCACTAGCTCTGAGTAGAAAAACAAATGAAGTAGCTTTTTATTCTGTGAAAGAAGACCCAGGTAGCAGTAAAATGCCAGAAGCTACAGAATGGGAGAAAATATTTTAAACACTTATCTGAGGAAGTCTAATACTTCAAATAGGTAAAGAGCTTTCAAAATCCATCATTAACAAATTAACCAACTAATAAAGAATAAAGATATATTTCACCAAAGAACATATGTAGATGTGAAACACATGGAAAATCATTACCCTGTAGGGATATGATGAGGTAACACTTAGATGCCTAACAGAATGGTAAGGATTATGACAATGCCATATGTTGGTGGGTGAAGATAGAAGCAAATCACTCATTTCTGATGGCAGTTTCTCAAAAATTAAGCATGTAGCTGCTACATACATAGACTAAGCAATTCACACTCGTAAGCATTTATCTCAGGAAAGTAAAAAAAAACATATATAGTTTGTTTCATAGCATCTTTATTCATAGCCAGAAACCTACAGTTTTCAGCAGCTAAATGAACTGTGCAAAAAAAAAAAAAAAAAAAGAATGATACCATGGAATATCATTCATAAATTAAAGAGAAGTACCAATACATGAAACAATATGATTGAGTTGCCAGAGATGGTGAGTAAAAAAATCAACATTAGACTGGGACACATTTTCCACATGGAAATGGTCGTGTCATAATGGACTGCTTCTTATTTAACTAACGAATGCTCTGAAGGAAAAGAATCTATCCTTAAATGTTAACACTGGTAAGGTTTTATAAAAAGTGTTTAAAATCGGGTACTAGTGGCTCATGCCTGTAATCTTCACCACTCAGGGGACTGAGATCTGAGGATCATTATTTGAAACCAGCCTGAGCAGAAAAATCTGTGAGACTCTTCAATTAATCACCAAAAAGCTGAAGTGAAGCTATAACTCAAATGGTACTAGCTATGAGATACAAAGCTCAGGGTGGTGTTAGGACTAGCTGGAAGCTAAAAAGCTCAGGGACAGTCTCTAGGCCCTGAGTTCAAGCCCCAAGGACTGGCACCCAGAACAACAAAAAATGTGCTTCATTAGACCAGGCATGGTGGCATACATCTATCATCCCAGTTATCATGAGATTGAGGCAGGTTTTTAGTTGTACGTTTTTGGCTATTGTGGATAAAGATGCTATCAGCCCAAGTCTAACATGGGCTCCATGGTCTTAAACTACTCTCCTCCACACCAAAAAGTACTTATAGGGAGAAAACACTAGAAGTATTTAGTGGTTGCTAGGGATTGAGGAAAGGGAGGATGGAACATAAAGGAGCTAAGTGGGGCAACATGGAGGATATCACATGGCCTCATAGTAGTTCATGCCTATGGTAGCACAGTTCATCTTTGAATATAGTATTGTTGTTTTCCTAGGTCTGGGGAATTTGGCAAAAGGGTACAGGAGATCTTTCTTAAGATACTTCTTAAAATTATTTGCAAATCTATAATAATGTTCATTTACTTCTTTAATTCAGTGCAGATTTTAAATGTAGCTTGGTGGAAACTATTGTTTGTGTCTTTCTTACTCTTATGATTGGTCCATACATTAATGAATTGGTATTTACTTTGATGTCATTCTTGTCATCCCAATCATAGCTGCTACAACTGAAGTTCACTCTTAGTCTGATCACAGTCTCTGTTGACTTTTCATCTCATCCACAGTTAAGGTCAAAGCCTTTTCCTTGGCATAACAAACCTGACATGACTGGTCAACCTCCCTTTGCCTCCAATTTCTGCTATTGTTCCCCTCATTCACTCGGTTGCAAACTGTACTGTATCAAAATGAAGAATTTCACTTTTAGAGCTTTGGTACTTCATGTTCCTTCTATGTGCAGTTGTCATCTTCTAGGCAACTACATAGTTTGTTCTTAAAATTTAGTTTGTTTTTCCTAAAAGGTCACTTCATTAAGGCTTTCCTTTGACCATCCTGTTGAACAACTCTTGGCCCCAACACTAGGACTTCATATTCTCCTCACCATGCTTTTTCACTTACTTTTTTCCTTATTTCTCCCAATCAGACTATGAGTTTTCAAATGCATGAATGTTGTGTCTTGTTTACTGATGTGTATTTATTGTCTGAAATGTGTCAGTACATTTTCTGAAAGGTATTAAATACTTTCTTGGTCATTTGGCCCTGTGAATACTTCTTTTTTTTTCTCTTTCTTTTTTTGAGAATAAAAACAGCTGTAGACAATAAGTACATGGCTGAGTATCTTCTTACAGTTCTCAAGAAAGTATTTTAAATTACATGTAGTTTTCACTTGAAGAAAAATTCCTTTTTTTTTTCTTCTAACAATTAAAAATCCTTTCCTAATTATCTGTCATACCTTGGACAGACAGGCCAGTCAGTGGGCCTTAGTTGCTCACTCCTATATGAGAATTCCATCCGCATGCAGAAGGTACAAGTGATTTTCCTCTCACAATTCTTAGTGTTCTTAGCATCCTTCTTTTCTGTGTTTTTAACAGACCTTGGTCTTGAACTCAGGGCCTGGGCACTGTCCCTGAGATTCTTCTGCTCACTTGAGCCATAGCACCACTTTTGGCCTTTTCTGTTTATGTGGTACTGAAGAATCAAACACAGGACTTCATGCATGCTAGGCAAGCGTTCTACCACTAATCCACACTCCCAGCCCAATAGAATATTACTTTCTCTGACAAAAAATGCTGGGCCTCTAGTAGCAAATTTATTGTATGTCTTTTATACTAGTCAGACATTCGAACTAGCCTACATAGACTTAATTGAGTTTTTTTTTTTTGTCAGTTGTGGGGCTTGAACTCTGGGGCCTGGGCACTCTCCCTGAGCTCTTCAGGTCAAGGCTAGCACTCTTCCACTTGAGCCACAGCTCCACTTCTGGTTTTCTGGTGGTTTATTGGAGATAAGAATCTCACGAACTGGGGCTGGGAAGGTGGCTCAGTGGTAGAGTGCTTGCCTTGCATGCATGAGGCCCTGGGTTCAATTCCTCAGCACCACATAAGCAAAAAGAAAAAAGCCGGAAGTGGCGCTGTGGCTCAAGCGGTAGAGCGCTAGCCTTGAGCTGAAGAGCTGAGGGGCAGCGCCCAGGCCCAGAGTTCAGGCCCCATGACCGGACCCAAAAAAAAAAAAAGAATCTCACCTCAGATCTCAACCTCCTGAGTTAGGATTACAGGTGTGAGCCACTGTCACCCGGCTTAATTTGGATTTTTAAGGGAGTTTTAGAGATTATAGCTGAAATATCTGAGATTCTTAAGTGAACTAGTTTTTGGGACTAAGAAATGAGGTTTTATAATTTGTTCTATTTCCAGATTTGTGCTATGTCAGATTCCACTTACTATTTCAGCCAGAAATACGTTTCATTTAGAAGACAGTTATAGGTGTGTTTCTTCAGTTCTTTTTATTCCACATTTTAAAGTGGTAGATTGTTTTTAGTTTTTTTTTTCTTTCATGGTTTTCTTTTTGTTGTTATTGGAGTTTGAACTCAGGAATTATGCTTCCTAGGCTAGCTCTCTACCAATTGAGCCATACTCTTTAACTGCTTTTAGTGTTTTTTTTTTTTTTAATTTGATTTTAATTTATTAAAATATTATGTAAAAAGGTGATGTACAGAGGGGTTACAGTTTCATAAGTAGGGTAATGAGGATACTTCTTTTTGTACAATGTTATCTTCCCCTTATTATTTCCTACATTTCCTTCTGTCCCTACCCACAAGTTGTATAGTTCATTTTCAACATAGTGTCTAGTGAGTACCACTGCTACATTTGTTCACTGTTTATCCCTCTACTGCTGTGCTTCCCTTACCCTCCCAAAGACAGATAAATGAACATGACAAAAAGAAAAGAAGCCAAAAACCAACAATAAAGATAACACTCTTATTTTCAAGAAGAAACAAAAAATAATAATGAATTTTACTTGAAAGTAAATTATCTCAAAGAGTGGGAATAATAAGCATACTATATTCGGAAAAACAGGTATCATGTATAGAAGTGATGTCTTGCTCCAAGAAGATGGATTGGTGGAATCTGGCATTATATTCTTTTTTTTTTTTTTTGGGTCCGGTCATGGGGCCTGAACTCTGGGCCTGGGCACTGTCCCTCAGCTCTTCAGCTCAAGGCTAGCGCTCTACCACTTGAGCCACAGCGCCACTTCCGGCTGAGGAATTGAACCCAAGGCTTCAGGCATGCAAGGCAAGCGCTCTACCACTGAGCCACCTTCCCAGCCCGTGGTGTTATATTCTTAAAATGGAAAAAAAATGCAGTTGTGTAATTCTCAATTCCTTCAAGACCCAAATCCTTCTCTTCCCCAAAACATACATGGCTCAGTGTTAGACATACATTTGTATTTGTTCGATCCTTTAATTAGCAATTGTTTTTAAGGTATAATGGCATTTAGCAAAACTTTAGGGTTAATATGTGCATTAACATCTCATTTTATCATGTCATTCATTGTTCTCTCTCTAGATATACCTGTATTTCCCACGATCACAGCCACTGTGACTTTTCAGGAGTTTCGATATGATGAATTTGATGGCTCTATCTTTACCATACCTGATGACTACAAGGAAGACCCCAGTCGTTTTCCAGACCTTTAACTGACATGCAAAATGATACTATTCAACCAAGAACAAGAAAAACAGACTCCCAGAAATGAATCCAAGTAGAAGGGACATATGCTTTCAGTAAAGGGAATTATATGTTGAATTGACACATCAGTAATAGGATATAAAGAAATGGGCCTCTAAAAGAATTTCAGCAAGTTTTCTGATGTGCCATTTTCAGTCTTTTTAAAAGTATACTTAATATAAGTGTAATAGTTTGACCTTAATGACCCTACGACCTTCGTATGTAAAGCAGCTACCAGTGCTGTGATTTGTTTTTAAAGATTTTTACATTTCTTGTTGAAATATATATGCATATAAATATATCTATATATCTATATATCTATATATCTAAAACACTCCTGGACCATTAATGTAAATTAAATGTCTTAAAAGAGATATGAAGCCCTTTTAAACTCGTCATCTTATATTCAAGGTGACATAAATATTCGTTCGCTTTGTTTTCACAAAATGTAAACTCTGTAACATTATGTATAGTTCAGTAATTTGAATGTTTGTTCAATATAATGAACTAGAAGGAATGCAATTTTCTGTAGATGAATGAACCAAATGGTAACCATTAAATAATTGCATTTATATGTTGCAATACATTTCAGAGGGAGCGTTCACGCTGCAGGGAATAAGGTACCTCTTTTAGCACCTTAGTGCAGTTCATTGTGGTGCTATTTGTTTTTACCTGAATTCTTTCTTCAATGGAAAATGTTGTTATTAATCTTCCTTTCATAGAACCTCTATTTTTTGTTTTCTAAATTAGTTTAAAAGTCCTTGTTATGTTCAGATACAGTATGGTTAGCATGCTTAAGATCCTCTTCCAAGTCTCAGCACTTTAAACAAATTCCAGGTTTTTAAACTTGCTTCCTAAAAAGTGCATATAAGTCTGATGAATATGTTTTTAGTGGAATATGGATACATTGGTGTCAATTTTAAAAAACAACCCACATATTTTAGACAACCTTACATATTTAATGCTTTCAATATAATGTTAAAAACATTTTATATGCTAACAATATATTTGTTACAAGTTATAAAGTTCAGAAGTGTATACAAGATTGACAGTTCCTATTTTTTTTAAGACACAGAAAAATATTTGTTAATTTTGTTTTCAAAATGTCAAAATCATTCACTCACTTTTACACTTACAAATTTTCATATTTATTACAAGATGGTTTGAAGGTCCAAGAATGAAAACAAATTAGGGAGGATAATGTATAACAGTTATTATACACTATCATGTTGTATTAAGGAACTTAGCTAAATGTTTTTTAATTTGTCCTAATGAATGTGTCAAGAATGAATTTTTTAGTGACTAGTAGTTTAACATTTTATTTTCCAGGATTTTAGATTATTTGAAATAACTTTAGCCTTCTTTATTGGAGAGATGATTTATTGAAATTCCAAAGAAACCATAAGAAAAATTTTATAATCTTTAAAGCTGCATCTTCCATACCAGTAACATGTTAAATATGTCAACATTTTATTAAATGTATTTTATAGCGAAGAAAAATGATTATAGTTAAAAATTCAAAGACCTATGTGCATCTGTTAAATTTTGAGAAAAGAATGGGAAAACACAGATTTTTTTTTTTTAAATTAGGAGTTGGTCTTTAGAATTTAGGAAATGATGAGAGATCAGCTCCTCAAAGAATTGTCCAGTCAGTGGTTACTTACATAAAGTTTGAGATTCTGAAAGGCATTGCCCATTATTGTTTTTTAGCCTATCTTGTTTTGTAGAAATGTGGTATACTTTCAGGAATATACTGCACATTTATTAGTAAGTACAGACAATTTAGGGGATTATTAAAAAAAAAAACCTATGGTAAATTGCAGCGTGGGAGTTACCAGTTTCTTAACAGCTGTGAATATTTTGCTGGGGTACACTGGAGATAGGAAGACTACTGAAAAATTTTGCACTTGGATTTGTTTTTAAGACCTTAATCTTTTCTTTTTCTTTATAAAATAGTAGAATCCATTCCATTCCAAAATGTCTTTTCTCTGATCACAAACACGAACTAAGTGTCAATATCTCATGATGGTGGACAAAAGGAGTTAATGCAAATAAGCAAATAAACTTTTCACAATATTAGATTTTTGAAGATGTTCCTTTTAATCCCAGTTAATGAATGAAGCTATAGGCTGGTTAGTTAAAATAGATCACAGTGCTGTATTTTGACTATCTCAAATGAAACTCAAGATTTTAAAATAAGTAAATGCGTAAAATCATCCTGTCTTTAACTTATGAATTTAAAATGACACTGGCAGGGAGGAGGGTACATAAGAACCCCCCTCCTCCCCTTCCCCACCTTGCAGGTCCTGGGCTTGAGTGCTATCCCTGAGCATTTTTGCTTAATACTAGCACCCTACCACTTGAGCCATGGTTCTATTCTAGCTTTTAGATAAGAATCTTCCTACTTAGGCTGGCTTTAAACTACGATTCTTAGCTCTTAGACTCCTGAGTAGCTAGGATTACAGCTGTGAGCCATGGGCATCCAGCTAAATCAGCCATCGGAAATTCACTATATTCTTGCCACTAATGTCAATCTAAAGATGTGATGTCTGTCTTAGGAAATTTTCTGGAACAGCTTGTCCTCTGTGAAGTGCCCAGTTTCGGACACCCCCTCACAGACCACCAGAGACCATGATCAATGCAAACAGCAAAGAGTCCTTTATTACTAGCTCAAGCTTGGTCCTCCGCGCACTCGGTAGCCGGTGACGCTAAGAGGCCCCGAGCATAGAATCAGCACAGCTTTTATAGTATTAAACAAGTTCACGAGTTCAGGGGGTTTAAGTTCACCCTGAACACACTTTCCTTTTTCTGATGGAACACTTAGGCAACTGTTCTGTTCATTAAGGGTGGGCAGGGTTGGTGGCAACCTGCAGTTTTTTCGAGAACTATTTTTCTCTTTGTGGGTTACTCTGAGGGCCCCAGAGCTCAGGGGATTACCTTAGCTCTTCACTCTGTATACATTCCTTGCTTTTGGGTGCTTGTCCTGGGGCTTGAACATGGGGCCTACGCACTGTCCTTGAGCTTTTTGCTCAAGGCTAGCATAGCACTCTAAGCCATGAACCACAGCTCCACTTACAGCTTTTTGGAGGTATTAATGGGAGATAAAGGTAAGTGTCTTGCACTTTTCTGCCTGGGCTGGCTATAAACGGTGATCTTCCGATCTAGGCTACTCAAGAAGCCAAGATTACAGGTGTGAGCCACCATGCCCAGCAGCTAATAGACATTCATAGAGAAGCCTTTTAACCGGAAAATATAGAGCAGATGCCCTGAGTTAGAGACCATATGATTTGGAAATTGACAGACCTGTCACCAGAAGCTAAAAAACTAGTTTCCTTTGCTGATCAAAACTTGTTAAGTCTTAACACCAAGAGTAGGTTTTCAGGCTAGGCATAGCTGTAATTCCAGCCACTCCAAACCAGGGTAGGATTGAAAATGGAAGGCTAGTTTAGGCAACACAGCAGGACCCTATCTTAAAGTAAAAATGGAGTAGTGATGTAGTGGTAAAGTACTTGCATGGTTTCATTCCCCAATCACCCACCCCTCATAAGTATTAGATACTTTATGACTCATGCCTTGGGGACAGTGTTGAGTCCTGCTAGTGTTCACCAAGTCTGAAGCAGATAAATGTCGTGTTTGATTTTGCAGGCCATGAAAAAGCTGGAGTAAATTACTATCATTAAGATATGATCCATTCTGTTCATTTATGTTTCTTTTATTTGCAAAACAGTTTGCTAGGAGGAGATGAGAGGTCCCACTTGTAGTGTGCCAGTATTTAAATTTGAGCGAAAGAATCACTGCTGGATTTGAAAACTTAAATGGCAGTGAAACTTGCTTCCAGAGAACTGGACAGGAAATATACATTTAGCAAATCTAAGCTTGGCAAAAGTCCCTGACTTGTTTCTATACTATAAAATTGTAGAAACTTGAACAAAACATATATTTACCAGCAATCTTAAGTTGCCATATGAAATTTTCAGTGTTTGATTTTAGAAGTCATTGACAACTCAATATGGTTTCTGTTGTAGCCCTTAGAATATTAGTACTAATAGCTATGTAACCTACAGTACACAGAAATACAATTTCACTTGCCCAATACCTTAAAAGTACTGATGCAAAGTTCCCAAGTTATTAAAAGATTTGTCTTTTGTTGTTTTACAAGTGAAAATGTTGTCTAAAGCAACAATACTGCACAACCAAAAACAATCCACTTATTACCCATATTTCCCCGACTGCTGGTGGTCACTAAAGGCCAAGGATTTGGGAGTTTTGAAGCAGTATAGGTTGTGTAGGCGTTTGGGAACATAAAAGTGAAATCTTGTAACTTTTGTCTATTGCCATTTAGGATGAGGCAATAGCTAAGGCTGCAGTTATTTATTCCACCCCTCTTTAAGGGGATGGACCTCAATTTAAACATGCAGCACCAAGTTTAAAGTCAAGATTTGATTCAGTTGTGTGTATAGGTTCATGTAGGCCTCCCAAACCATTAAGGTCAGAAACAAGATGTGACCAGTGTGTCAGTACATTTTTGAGTGCCAGTTTGTCTGTGGTTAAATGTTTCCTTCTGAATTGCCTGTGGACTTTAAATCTCCAAGATTCTTAACCAGTTTATACCATTATTAAGATCAAATTATTAAAAACAAACACATAATAACTCTCCTCCATAGGTTTTGCTTATTTGATTACAGATGGGTACCCTTAACTTTACTAAAGTTAGAAATATTGTGCAGTGAAGGTGTCTTCCAAAATTTAGCATTTAACAAAATACTTCAGTTTTTATTATTACAAGTACATTTAGTGTATCTGCAGAAAGCTAAACCAGTTCTTATCAGGCAGAAAAATTAAGATTATATCATTAATTTGTTCCTTTTGGCAACCTAGACCATCTTCTCATGCACAAATATTTTAACTAATGTGTTTTTTGTTTGTTTTTTTTTTTCTTTGGGTCTGGTCGTGGGGCCTGAACTCTGGGCCTGGGCACTGTCCCTCAGCTCTTCAGCTCAAGTGCCCTACCACTTGAGCCACAGTGCCACTTCCGGCTTTTTTTCTTATGTGGTGCTGAGGAATTGAACCCAGGGCCTCATGCATGCGAGGCAAGCGCTCTACCACTGAGCCACCTTTCCAGCCCTTAACTAATGTGTTTTAAAAAATAGGCTTCATAGTAATTTTAGTGACCATGTAATACAAAAAGTTTTGAAAAGGATGTGAATGCTAGCTTTTATAAGGACATTAGTAACTTACAATATCTACTTTCTCTGTAAATCATCTCATTGCTATCTTCTATACATTGAGAATATTAACAGTATTCCCATGAGTCTTTGGTTTTGCCAAATGTCCAAATCTACCTATTAGTGGATATTAAGTTAAAATGGGAAAAATTGATATATGTCCATCTCCATCTTAGAAAATTAATACTTAGAAATAGATTGTGAATACAAAGTATTAGTAGCAATTCCATTTTTCCAATACTCAATTCAATTAAAAAAATGTTATCTTGTCCTAGTGCCAGGGGCTCACACCTGTAATCTATCTACTTAGGAAGTTGATCAAAGTCAGCATGGGTAGAAAAGTCTTGACACTCTTATCTCAAATTAACCAGCAAATTGCTGGACTAGAAACATTCAAGTGGTAGAATGCTGCCAGGACCAAGCAAGCAGACCTAGAGCGACAGGCCCAGAGTACAAGCCATAGTACTGGCACACACAGCATGAGTCTTGCATGCTTTGGTGCTAGACATACATGTGATATTGGTAATTAAGTGGCATGACACACAAACCAAAACCTGACTCACTCAACGTTAAGTCCAACTCATTTAAACTGTTCTGGTAGAGGTGCTTTTTCCATGATCCTATCTTCTACTTTTAAGTTACAAAATTGCCACCAGGAACTTAGTGAAACTTGAGACGTAAAGGGCAATAATTCTTAACTGTATGCATACAATTCATATTCAAGTCTTTGCTTTAGGTCCTGCCCATTAAATTACATTTTTAAAAAGTCCTTAAGACAGCATGATTGGGTGAATAACAAATCATACTAACCAATACATAATAGAAACAAATTGGAATGGGGGGATAAGTTGGTAGGTGTGTGTGTGTGAGAAGTGATGGAACAGGTCACATTGACCAAGATGCACTGTAGTACATATAAATTGACAAGTTGAAGTGACACACCTTCATACAACTGTTCAAATAAAAGCCATAACCAAACAGCAACCACTATTCAAGTACTTCCTAAGTCAATCACCACTAGCTCTACTAAATAAAGCTCAAACTCAAGTCTGCAAATCTTTCAAAACAGGATGTCACTCCTGAAAAGTCTTAGGACAGTTTTTCTAACAAAACCACTTTTTAAACCATTTTACTACCAAATACAGAACAAAACTGTGTGTAGGTCATGTTATGTTCACTTGGTTTTCCTCTCACCTGTTAAAATCTTGCATAAGCGCACAATATTTATAATGCACATATTGTTCACTAAAAAGTAAGTACCCTAAGTATTTCATTGTACCACCTCAGGTCAATGACACTATTGAAAATCTAAAATACTTTGATCCCTTTAAGAAAAGGCATTGAATGTTTTTGAGTTCAGAGATTTTAAAGTGTTAATTTACTGTGAAAATGTCAATATTGTTTCTGACTTAAAAAATGGGCATGCTTGCTAGGTATCCATGGCTCATGATCATAATTCTAGCTACTAAGGAGGCTGAGGTCTGAGGATTCTGGTTTTGAAGCTAGCATGGGCAGTTAAGTTTGTGAGACTTATCTCCAATTAACCACCAAAAATCTTTAAATGGAGCTGTGGTTCAAGTGGTAGAACACTAGCTTTCAGCAAAAAAGTTCAGAGGACAGCACCCAGGCCCAGTTCTAATCCCAGGCCAGCATAAAGGAAAAAAAAAAGCCGTGTGACTTGGTTTACCTTTATTGACTAAAAGTCTCTGTAATTTAAACAAATACTTGCATTCAACTTAAAAAAATGTAATGATTATTCACACCTTTTACTAATTTCTTACACTTGCTAAAAGAAAAATTCCTGTTGATAAAATCTTTACTACAAACTGTAAAAACACAGCTTTTCTAAATGTCATTTTAATTTTAGAAAAAAATCACCTTAAACTTAGAAAAGGCCACAATTCCAAGTATTGATTTCCCATAATCTCAGCCACCCAACACTACTCATTTCATAAATGTTTATACCACTTAGTATTATACAATAGATACATATTAACTTTTGATACTAGCTCAGAAAAGGCAAATATTTATATTTCACTGAAAATATAAATTTACTATGTATATGTAGAATCATTTATTCTAAAGTTCATTTTATTATCCAATCCCAATTCCCACACAAAAATATGAAGAAAGATAGTTCTAGACAAGTTATTTGGTGTTAGGACAATTATCACTAAGCTGATGGTTTTCATCTTGTGGTATTGTACTTAAATGTAGATAGAACTTGTAAAATGAGGTAAATGTCATACAATTCAATAGTGTGAATAAATACAAATGCAGTTTTACAGGAACATGAACATAAGTTTAAGGGTTTTATTATCAAAGTCATGTAAAACAATTCCAGAAACTGTACATCAACATGGCACAGACTGTAGCCTACTTTTGTTTTAACTGCACAAAAGTGAAGCTTGAAATCCTGTAACTAAGAAAACAGTTACCTAACTACGCATATAACATGGAATCACTGTGCATAAGATTACTATGCAGTAAGAGTAACACAAATTGGTTTTTATACAACTTGAGATCAAATAAAAGTACATCATCAAGTAATTTGTCTTAAAATGCTTGTGAAAGTCATTTAAAAATGCACTATCCTTTTTTTTTTTCTCCCTCAAGAGTGAGCTTAAAACAAACCAAAGTGGAAAACTGAAATCAGGACAAGAAAACTTTTTTTTCTTTTTTAAACAGATGCAGCAGGATAAGTTGATAGCTTTCATGGATGCAAATATGAAATAAATTACTGCAGGGAAAAAAAAATCCTAAATACCTATGGAAAAGTATATAATTCTACTTCAAAATATTTTGCTATTTACTCACCGAGAAGTTTCATCTGAAATCTTGTTTGTGTAATTAAAGACTAATTAGCCATAAAAAAGGTTAGTGCATATATAACCTTTCTAAGTTAAACAAAGCCACAAAATTTAGCCATAAGGCTTAAAGGATTATCTACTTCAAATTTGTTTCCAGATGTAGCTCTAAGAATGTTAATTTGTCATGTCAACAAGACCATAAGTAGATCCATCATGTTGGAGGATTTTTAATGACATTTAGGATATTCTTGCCACAGTAACATGCAATCAGTGCATTCCCTACATGGCTCTATTACAGCAATGACTCAAATTCTAGAATTACTATAAGTGAACTTACTTAATAAAAGGGATTATACAACATAAACAATCCATGCCTGCTGTAGATGCATGCAGCTTTTCGTAAAACTGCTTCGTTACTCAGTCAGATTCACCATGACAAAGTTGGTTACCATTTTCTGAAAGCTTTTTGATGTAATAACTATCAGTATCAGTATCAGAAACTTTATAACCATTTGTAATTTTGAGCTGTATACATCTAAGTTTGAGATGAACAATTACAGCATTAAAAATCACACAAAGGAATGACACTGATGCATGTGTACAGCTGGATTCCCACAGAGGCAATATTCAGTCACTCATATCCATGTCTTCTTCATGATGATCATCCCCATTCACTTTGGATTCTCTTATTGAATCACCAGTTCCCTTGTCAACTGAACATTCCTTGGCTTTAGGGGAACCAGCTTCTGCTGATTTCTTCTCTTCTTTCTTCTCCTTTTCACTGTCATAGCCCTGTTCTTCTTCATCATAATCCCGTGTAACCTGCTTTGCCAAGGAGAATAAAAATAAAATAAGCTTCTTCAAAGAAAAGTTGTATTTCAAAGCTACTAATATTACACCGAATACAAAATAAACGAATTTGTATACATACTTTTACATCTTTATCACTCTCTGATTTTTTTTCCCGATCTTTTTCCTTATCTTTACTTTTCTTCTTTTTGCTTGTTGATCGTTCCCTTTCATCTCTGCTTCTTTCTTTGTCTTTATCTTTCTTCTTCTCCTTTTTATGTCTAGAATCAGTTAAAAATGTGCTTAAAGAATGCTTTAAAGAAACCTAAGATGTTTCATTCTGAAGTGGAGCAAAAGTTTTAGTTGCTTAGATTACTTTGGAGTTCAGAAGGTGGCAAACCGGCAATAAAGATACAAGTCGTACACACATAATGTAGGTGAAAAAATTGCAACCTTGTTCTAAGGGTAAAATGAAATGCTTTATCCAAACATGTATTTCTTGTCTTAATACAAAGAACATTTTTAATTACTAAAAAGGAAAACTATGTAATAGTAGGATGGTTTAAAACATGATTTCTGAGAATTACAAGAGATCTAAATACTTAAAATCTTTTACCTTCTAGGGGATGGTGAGCGAGACAATTTTCTTTTAGGAGACCTAGGCTTTTTAGGAGATCTTGTTCCACTTCGGCTTCTTCTTCTTCGTCTCTCTCTAAAATCAGAAATGTGCAAACTAGGCTTTAAAATATAGTATGATCTCATTAGCTCTACTAGAAATTCTAATAATATGGTTTTTCTGACTGTAATACCTGTTTTACAATAGTGTTTTGAGCCTACATATCTCTGGGCTTGTTTTCTGAAGTAGCTAACTTTTCAAATTGTGATCAAAAAAAGCTGGGATCACAGGTATGTGCCACCATTCCCAGCCATCAAGTAAGTTTTGTTAAGAAAGAAATTGTATAAAAGTAATTGTATGAGGGGCTGAGAAGATGGCTCAGTGGTAGAGCGCTTGCCTTGCATGCCTGAGGCCCTGGGTTCGATTCCTCAGCACCACATAAGCAAAAAAGAAAAAAGCCGGAAGTGGCAGTGTGGCTCAAGTGATAGAGTGCTAGCCTTGAGCTGAAGAGCTGAGGGACAGCACCCAGGCCCAGAGTTCAGGCCCCACGACCGGACCCAAAAAAAAAAAAAAAAAAAGTAATTGTATGAAAGTATATATAATCAGTATCTGAAGAAAGTACAAAAAATGTTTCCTGTGAAGTTTGCAAGACTATTTCAATTTTCACTAAAATAGTTTAAAAATAGAAGGTAGCCTAGGAATGGAATAAATCACTACTTATACTGCTTTCCATTCATCTATGAACCACAGTATGAGAAACACAAAATTCTTGTCTATTAATATGTAGACAAGATAAATATAAATGGCCTAAATATTCCAGTATGCTCTAGCTATTAAAACTCAACTATTTAAATCTATTTTTAACACTGAAGTATTTAAGTATTTAAAGTTCAGGAACACATTTTCATGTCCACAGGCTGATTTTATAAAGGAAAATAGAAATCTTACCTGCTTGCACTTCTAGAACGTCTGGCTGTGCTGTAACTTTTTGGTGGTGTTTTGGAACGTTTCTTTTCTTTGTCTTCCTTCTTTTTATCTCTAATAAATAAACAATTTATAATGCATAAGAAGATTAAGCTAATGATTCTTTCTATGGAGTGCTGCACATAGCAACTTAAAGTATAATCAGATCTAATCTTGTTATTCTGGTAGGTATTTTAGGAACTATAGCTTTTGTGACTTTTTTGCAGAAAGATATTTCCTTAAAAGTCTAATTTCTTTGACTAATAGAATGAAGTACTTTACTGTTTAAGAAAAAATTTAGGATTGTTGGCTAGTATTTTGTGGTATATTTCAGGAGATTAATAATGGGATTCTAGATACTTTATCATCCCTTTCCCCACCCCTCTCTGCCTATTTCTATCTTTTCCCCCTTCCTTCTCCTCTTTTTGTGCTAGTCCTGGGGTTTGAACTCATCGTGTGGGTGCTTTCCTGAACTTTTTTTGCTCAAGGCTAACACTCTGCCACTTTAGCCTCATCTCCACTTCCAGCTTTTTGGTGGTTAACTGGAGATAAGCGTGTCACAAACTTTCCTGCTTGGGTTGGCTTCAGAATTGTGATCCTCAGGTCTTAGCCTTCTGAATAGCTGGGCACCCGGCTTATGCTTCTCTCTCTTAATTATTGGTATCATTCACTGATTATCACCAGTATTCTTCCATAGGATATATGAAGGCCTAAGCAATGCTTCCTACCTTTTCCTGTTGCAATACATTCTGGACTACCCAGTGACAATCATAATGCACTGGTAACCCTATCACAAAAATGGTTCTATAAATTTGTTTTTATTTAAGTACCCCATCATTAATCTGCTATATCACCAGTTTCTCCAAGAATCTAAATAGGGGGTAGATAATATGTATTTCTGTTCTAAACACATATCTGTGTTAAAAAAAATTGGGATCAGAATATTCCTTTTTTCGGTGCTACTCTTATGTCCTCTAACTCATCTTTTTCCTTCCCTGCTCATCCTGCTATAGTGTAGTTATCCTTCCTTTTCAAGTTAATAATTCATGTAATGTCTCAGATAATAACAATCTCTTGAGATTCTAAATTGTCTCTTAATGATCTCTAATGAGTTTCATCACACCCTTCGCAAACTGTTCATGTACTATACCTAGAAGACATCTTTCCAGGCACAGTTGTGTGCTGCATGTGGATGTTTTCCTTCAATGACTGATCCACATATATGGTCCTAAATTTCTGCTCAATGATACTGTAGCCATTGTAGTTTGTGGAAGTATACTCTGGTGGTTTCACCAAGAAATTGCCTAATGATGCATTTCTTGGCATTATTTCCTGTCATTAAGTGACAAATGACTGAACAAATCTGACAATACTGCCTCCCTCATCATTTGTGAACCTGCTGCAGTTGCTTCCTAGATCAAGCACAAACAACAAAGCCATTTATGAACGGTCTCCTCTTTCTGACCTTGTTGTTGGTCCTTCTGTACTAAAATAGTTGCTACTTGTACAACTCACACTCACCGTTTTTTTCTTTCTTTAACTTTTTTTGGTCTTTTTTCTGTTTTGGAACTGGGGATTGAACCCAGGACATTGCACTTGCTAGGCAAGTGCTTTGCCACTGAGCTACAACCTAGCCCTCACACTAACCTTTATACATTATTCTTTACAAGAAACTGAAACAATTGAGTCCATTGAGTCTACTCAAACCTTTCAGAATGCAGGTTAATTATACCTGTCCCAACAATAAATAGCAAATGGCCACTATTTAAGGAAAGTCCTTCCCATGTAATATTTATTGCTTTCTTAATAAACAGAAAATCCTCAAGGAAAAGAATCCTTAATTCCTTTTTGGTACAAGGACTTCATTAAGCAACCTAGTTTGAAGGACTGGATTAATACATCATTTTCCCACCCACTATAAATCTCATGATTACAGGCTGAATACAACTCAGTAAGGCTATCTTATTTCCATCGGTTGAGGTACATGCTTACCAATAATAATGATTGAGGAACAATACTAAAAATCTGTATTTTAAGAAATTTTACCTTGGTCTTCAGGTTTCTAAGAAAGAAAAAAACCCCCAAACGTCAGTCTACTTAATTCCTAAGTAGCTTTGTACCTTTTCAACTTCTATCTCCTTACATTTTGTCTTTTGTTATTTAGTAGCATATTATCTGGGGGTGTCAGTAACTCTTATACTTTTGTGTTCTCACCCAATGCTATACCTGGTTTTTGATGTGCTCCTTGACCGTCTACCTCTCTCTCTGGAATGAGATCTTCTCCGTCTTGGACTTTTGGATCGTCGCCTACTCCTTGATTTAGAATGTGATCGCCTCCTGGACCTGCTTCTTGATCGCCTAATAAAGTATAAGGAAGTAATACATGTATATAAATGTAAAAAAGACTGGTTTGTGGATATTTCAGCTCATGTCAGACACACTAAGAATCAATATAAAGTGGAGGTAGTTCCCCTTCCTCCAGTTGCTGTCACTAAACATCTTTAATACCTTAGAAAAGTTAATACCCCTTTAATACTTAGAATTCTTCACTTTTTAATGTTTGACTCAATTGATTATGTCCACCGGATAGCTGGGAAGGTGGCTCAGTGGTAGAGCGCTTGCCTTGCATGCATGAGGCCCTGGGTTTGATTCCTCAGCACCACATAAGCAAAAAAAAAAAAAAAAAAAAGCCAGAAGTGGTGCTGTGGCTCCAGTGGTAGAGCACTAGCCTTGAGCTGAAGAGCTGAGGGACAGCACCCAGGCCCAGAGTTCAGGCCCCACGACTGGACCCCCCCTCCCCCCCCCCCAAAAAAAGATAAATAATCCCTTCTCTTGCTGGCATTATTTTATACAATCACATTATCTTCTAACATGTATCTTTTTGATTCCCCATCTGTCTATTATCAAACATGCATATTGTACTTACTACATACTTTTCAAATAGGCCTTGCAAGTTTATTTCCTGAATTGTATTCCACTTGAATTTCAATTAAACTCCAAACAATGTAGGCCTTACACATATAATTCAGTTCAAATGCTTTGTACTCATTTTCTTTCAATATTTCCATGACACTATATGATTCTTTTTCCTGCTACATTAAAGAAATACTTCTCAGCCAGGTGCTGATCATTCTTGCCTGTGATATCAGCTACTCCAGAGCCTAAGAGCTGAGAATTGCTGTTCAAAGCCAGCCTGGGCAGAAAAGTCTGTGAGACATTTATCTCCAATTAACCACCAGAGAACAGAAGTGGCACTATGGCTCAAAGTGGTAGAGTGCTAGCCTTGAGCAAAAGAGTTAAGGGATAGTGTCCAGATTCCGAGCTCAAGTAGATGACTGACAAAAATTCTCTTAGCTCTACCACTGGGTTCTTGAGGATAAGAATCCTTATTTCCTTTTTGGTACAAGGACTTCATTAAGCAATCTAGTTTGAAGGACTGGATTAATACATCATTTTCCCACTCACTACAAGTCTCATGATTACAGGCTGAATACAACTCAGTAAGGCTATCTTATTTCCATCTGTTGAGGCACATTTAACATAACCTTTATATGTTGTTACTGATTTTTTTTTTTTTTTTGTCAGTTGTGGGGCTTGAACTCTGGGCCTGAACATTGTCCCTCAGCTCTTCAGCTCAAGGCTAGCGTTCTACGACTTGAGCTTACAGAGCCACTTCTGGTTTTCGGGTGGTTTATTGGAGGTAAGTGTTTCACAGACTTTCCTGCCCGGGCTGGCTTTGAACCGCGATCCTCAGATCTCAGCCTCCTGAGTAGCTAGGATTACAGGCATGAGCCACCGGCACCTGGCATCTGATTATCTTTTTTGTCTTAAAACATTCCTCTAACAAATCATTAAAAATAAGATTCAGTGTGTTTATACTTTTGATTACCCAACTTCCAGCAACCACTCAACCTCTTTAAATGACAGATATCAAATATGGTCTAAACTTTCTGCCTGTTTTTCATTATATGTAAAGAGAAAGGATACTTCAGAAATGGAAAAGACTGTATCCAGATATAATGGGAAATGTCTATAATCACTGCTCTCAGGGAGATGAGACAGGAAGATGGCAAATTAGTAGCTAGCTTGGGCTAGTTCTAGGCTAGTACATAGTAAAAACCTGACTCAAATGGATAAGATCTGTTCAATTCTCATTTATAAACCATACACGTTAAGTGTAGTATCTAATGTCTCTGAGAGGCTGCTGTTTCAGCAAAGATATGGGGACTCTATTGTAACAAATGGCTGTAAAGACACAATTTTATTTTTTTTTTTTGTTGGTCGTGGGGCTTTAACTCTGGGCTTGGCCCTATCCCTCAGCTCTTCAGCTCAAGGCTAGCTCTCTACAGCTTGAGCCACAGCGCCTCTTCCGGTTTTCTAGTGGTTTATTGGAGATAAGATTCTCAGACTTTCCTGCCTGAGCTGGCTTTGAACTGTGATCCTCAGATCTTAGCGTCCTCAGTAGCTAGGATTACAGGTGTGAGCCAACGGCGCCCAGTGACTCAATTGTTATTAAAGCGGGGCACGAGCAGCTCAGACCTGTAATTCTACTACTAGTGCTTGAGCAGAATGTATGATGTGCTTATATAGCTTTGACTACTATTAAATCCATAAAAAATATGCCCATAAAACTCATCAGTACTGTCTTACTGAATTTAACAAACTTTTATTTCCATGTCTTATTTTCAGCCATATCTGACGCAATTTTAACAATCTCTGGTAGAAAAACATTTCTATAGGAAGAGATTTGTAATGAGTACCTTTCGGCAGACTCTATAAAGTGGAAAATAATTCCTGGGAGTGAAGATTTCTAGCCGAGAGTCAAGTGGTGAAAGGATATATAAGGTGAAGCTGAAACTGGCAAAAAGAACTGACAACCATTGATGGGCTCAAACTAGAACTAGAGTACAATTAAGCTAACCTAAATAAAAAAGGAGCAAGTAAAATGAGATTTGAGGGTTGAAATAGTTGGTAAACATTTTAAAAACTGATAGTTTTCAAACTGCGGAATCCAGGGCACTTCAAAACTCCTGATTTCACTGGTCTGTAAGATCAAAGTTATTACTATGCATGCAGACATTCTATGGAGAAGCAATGGAGAGTGGAGGTGGTACTCTCTATATCCTCTCCACAAATCAAGGTAGAGGTAAATGAACTGTTCTAGTAGTTGTTAGATTAATCACTGGCATTTCTATATGCATTTGTGACAAAAGAAAAAAAATGAATGTCATATTCAGTAAGCATCTTCAGGCAGTGAAAATTTTTATTGAGTATTAAAAACTATTCTTGAGTACTAATTTGCATGGAAAACATAAATCATTTGATACTTATTAATAAAATGGCTATCTAGAAAGACACCTGTATGACTGACCACCTGCAGTTTCATAAGACTTCTTATGCCTAGGGGGAGGACCCATTCAAAGCTTAAGAGAAACAGATTTTTAATTTAAAAGAAAGTTCTACAATGTAATTTACATTTCAGAAACTAGTTAAGTTTTAACATTTACCAACAAGTACTACTAAGTCACAAGACTATGAAAGTACCATTCTCTTTTCTAACTATTCACACCTAAGATTTAGTAAAATACCAGTTTTTCTAAATATATTTACCAATTACACTGCCAATTATTATATGCATAATTATCTTCTAGTAAGCCAAGCATTAGAAATATGAAAGTCATTCTCCATCAGTTGTACTTTAGAGCTATGCAAACATGGAGTTAACTGAGTTTTATTAAAAATTTAATCAACAGACAACTATAACCTACATGAACAAGAGTGAACAGGTTATTTTTTCTTTGTGCATGGGGGGCTTAAACTCGGGGCCTGAGCACTGTTCCTGAGCTTTTTTTTTTTTTTTTTGCTCAAGGCCAGTACTCTACCACTTGAGCCCCAGGTCTACTTCCAGCTTTTTGATGGTTAATTGGCACTAAGAGTCTCCATCTTTTAAGCACAGGCTGGCTTTGAACCATGGTTCTCAGATCTCAGCCTCCTGAGTAGCTCCAGGATTACAGGCATGAGCCAGCATCACTGGGTTTATTTTAACTATTAAAAAAATAGAATATATTAATAGAACAAGGGTGTTTTATTGTGATACTTCTATAGTTGTATACAGTGTACTTTGAACAAACCAATCCCGTTATACTTAGTCCATCCTTTTTCAAAGTACTTGGTAAGTCTCAGGTTACTTCCATACACATACATAACGTATTCACAAAACCATACATATATTCATGAAGGTGAGTCATATATGGAGACCAGAGAAAAATCATACCTAGAAAGTATCAAGTTCAGTTTTCTCCATAGCACTCTCTTAATATAGTGCTCAGCTCCTTAGTAGTTTTCCCTACCACCAATGGGTTGTTTTTTGGTATTACAGTATGAAATGTCTATTCTACATCTTTTCCCCTATATATATGTCAACACTTACCCCATACCCTGCTACCAGCAATTGTTAATCAAACACACTTTAACCAGGAACTAAGGAGGAAGGACCATTTAAGATACAACACAACAGCAATAACCTTTGTGTAATCTACAAATCTAACCTGTGTCTAGAAGATGAGGGAGTTCGCCTCCTCCGAGAACGTGATCTTGATCTTGAATGCCTTCTTTTTTCTTCTTTTTTATCTTGATTTAATAGAAAAGAAATACTTAGAAATCCACTTAGTAGGGAGATTGCATAGGAGTTATTTATAGAATTTCCCTTAATATTCAGCTTTTCTAATAAAACTTTAAATGTGTAAAGCTTTAATTTTCATGTTTCTATATTAATAGCACATTCTTTTTTTTTTTTTGGTCCGGTTGTGGGCCTGAACTCTGGGCCTGGGTGCTGTCCCTCAGCTCTTCAGCTCAAGGCTAGCGCTCTACCGCCTGAACCACAGTGCCACTTCCGGCTTTTTTCTTTTAGCTTATGTGGTGCTGAGGAATCGAACCCAGGGCCTCAGACATGCAAGGCAAGTGCTCTACCACTGAGCCACCTTCCCAGCCCTAATAGCACATTCTTAAACACATTAAATGTAAGTATTTTGTGTAAGTTCACAATAAATACAAATATGAAGATTTATTATTGGTCTAGCAGAATGTTATAATGCATGCTTGTCTGTACATGTCTGGGGTTCAAAGGAGAAACTTCATCTTCTCTCTACCACTTACTTCTATGATCTTTGTGAAAATAAATACTCAGGGATAAATTGCATCCCAATTAATAAACAGATTCAGGTTCAGGATCTGGCTGTCTAATCAAGAAAATCTTGATTTATTTATGCAGTTACAGAATTAGATTTTAGTAAGCCTGCCTTCTTCCTGTTGGCCAGTTAATCCTCTTACTGGTATTTTTGTGTAGGAAACACATCTATAACAGAATTGTGTTATTTCTTAGTTTTAACATAAAATCTATGCGATTCCTTGAAATTAAGACTTACAAGAGAAAATAAACCACTTTTCATACTTGTATGATCATCAAGTAAGGATGAGCAGCTCTTTCACAATTTATAGTGAATAGGATTAAACTTACTGAGAATGTCACTATTAATAAAAGATCTACAAAAATTTAAAGTAGTTTGTAAAATATTTTTGGCCAAGCATAGTGGTGCACATGTATAATCTGAGCATATAGGAAGCTTTGGGCTATCATATATTTGAGGCCATTCTATGCAATTAGTGAGACTTTGTCTCAAAGAAAACAACCAACAGAAGTCCTATCAGTCATGGAAGTAGTCATAGTATGTCCCAGAGTTAGTCCCACAGATCTAGTGCATCTCTAATACTCTTCAACTAATTATTTTGCATTCTATTGATTAAATGATATATTTAAAGCACTTGGTATCAATTTATCAATTATACTGACAATCTAGAGCAGTGTTAAGAGCAGTTCTTTGGCAGATACAAAGACCTGGATTTGTTCTCTAGCACCTACCATGCAAAAAAAGAAAAGCAAATCACTTCTACAAAACAAAACAAAGGGATTAAATAAGCCTAGGTGTACTGACATTTTAGATTGGCTCAATCATTGTGGGTGACTGTCCTACTCACAGCATGTATAGCAATATTCAGCCCTATCTACTCATTTGGTAACTGGTACCAGTGTGACAACCAGAAATGTCTTCCACGTATCTCTAGAAATGTCTCAGTGGCACTTCATTACAGGATATTTTATGACAGCTTAGAAAATGGAAAAAAATGACTAGAGCATTATTCACACACTTTAACTTATTCTTCACCATCATTTTTGCCAACAATCATAATTTACCTGGCTCTATAGCAGCAGATATCAGGGACTGGGCTTCTCGTACTCTTTTCATGGCTTCCTCTATTTCTTTACTAGAGGTATCTGATTTCAGACTTGGTGAAACAAGACCAGCAGCTACATGATTCAACCTAAAACAGAATCAACAACTGAGAATGGAAAGATTTTTAATATTAAGCCTGTACTTCAAGTAAAATAATCCTTGAAAAGGGGGAAGATTCTTTAACTTTAGTAAACAATATATAGTATAGCACATAGAACTGTTTTGAATATTTACAATGGGCATCTCCATTTTAATGATTCTGGAATAAGAAATTCAACATCCATCAGTGTTCCATAAACACACATTTTGAGAAATGCTAGTATAAAAGAATGTGCTGATGGCAAAAATAAACTTTAAATGATTTAAAAACTTTCTATGACATCTTAAGTTTGTTGGGGAAAGCGTTACCTTTTAGTTTGCAGATGGGGAGAAACTGAGGCAGTGGCCAATGGCCGACCAAAGTTACACATGAAATCCTGACTGGCAAGGCTAAAGATGCCCCTTAAGGGTTTACACATGTAAGAAAAAATTATAGACACCAAATTTAGTACAATAGTTATTTGTGGGGAGAGTGGGAAATGTTATCAGGAATGGATACGCAGAGAGTTTTAATGATACTGGTGATATTTTATAAGCTTGGGGGTAGGTACATGCTTGTTTCCTTAACTGTAAGGTAAATTTTAAAGAAAAGCCCCCACTAACCAAAGTCAAATGAGTGCCCTCTCACCCCCAATGTTTCTCATTTTTTCTACCAACGTAAGGAAAAATAGTATACAATTCAAATTTAGTTTACCAAAAAAGTATCAATTAAAAAATTCATTATATGAGATTTGCTACAAGAAAAATTTCAATTACTGCATGAAAGCATGTATCAAAGCACCTTTAAACACACTGGCTATTAACTACACATAACATGCACTTCTTTGTATGGAGATGATTTCCCTCTCAGCTTTGTTTCTCTCTCATTATCTTTAAGGCTCAGACTCTGATCTTAAAAACTTATGAAGACCATAATGGGACTCATTGCCTTTGTGGATTTCCAGCTGTTTTTATTTTTTCTGAGCAAATATGTAAGAGATGCCATCAAAATAAGTAACTTTTTTCTTTTTTGCAGAGCTGAGAGCCTTGCACTTGCTAGGCAAGTGCTCCTACACTAAGTTAAATCCCCAAGCCTAGTAAATTTCTTGCTATTGAACTCTTTCTGTGACAGAGGGGAAGACTAATAGGAATACCTTGTAAATATGCATGGAAATGTCACAATGAAATCATCCCTCCTCCCCAGTATAACTTAATAAAAACTATCACCCTAAAAAAAAAAAAACTCCCAATAAAAAACAAAATTAACTCTTCTTCTTTGTTGGGTGTGGTGGTGTGATAATCCCAATAGTGGAAAATAGAGGCAGAAGAATTGCAAATCTGAGGCCACCCTGAGTTTCTTAGTAAAAGGATCTCAACAACAAAGCAAAACAAAGTAACTTTCTTCAGACTTTGACACAAAGGAACAGCAAGGAGCCAGAAAAAAAAATACTTACTTGGGATCAACAGTACTCATAAGCTTCAGCAACTGATCTGCAGCAAGAGACTGCCAAAAACCAAAAACATAAGCAATGACATTGTGTAAGACAATAAATGATCCTTAGTCTTTTCAGTATATTGTAATGTACTGGAAAAAATCTTCTGGGACCATCCTTTAAAAAGATGGTCTGTGAAGAAGTTTGATCAATAGAATTAAATAAATCTATGTGTATTCTTTCAGTACTCACATTGAATATCAAAGAGAAACCAAGTGGCTACGGTATATATAGCAAGTACCCTTACCAAAGCTATTTATTTGAAGCTTGAGACTAAACAGTCTAGATTTTGTAGAATTACCTCTTTAACACTTTCTGATAAAAAGAAATATAGAAAACAAAACCATTTATTAGCTAATCTATTTCAAGCTATCTACAAAGCAAGGACTTTAGAAAAGGTTAAGCCAAATTTCAACATAACTCTGAAACCATCAAACTAAAAAGACAGAAAAATTATGAATGCATATTCTCATTTTTTCATGACTCTATGATGTGATGTGTTCATTCCATGGCATTTTATTTTCTATTTTTTCCTTTTCTTCTTTTATGGTGCTAATCCTGGGGCTTGAACTCAGGGGCTAGGTGCTGTCTCAGCTCTTTTTGCTCAGGGCTAGTGTTCTACCGCTTGAACCACAGTTGCACTTCCAGCAATTTTGGTGATTAATTGGAGGTAATAAGAATCTCATTAAATTCCCTGTCCAGGCTGGCTTCAAACCACCACCCTCAGATTACAGCCTCTCCAATAGCTAGAATTACAGGTGTGAGACCCTGGTGTCCAGCATTATTTTTCTACCTTGAATTATATGAAAAAAATTTTAGAAAAATGATGTAGTGGCCAAATAAGTCTCTTTTTAATGAGCTAGCCTTAGTAGTTTTTTTTTTTTTCAATACAGAAATTAAAGTCTAGGGATGGGTGCTGGTGATGCACACCTATAGTCCTACATACTCAGGAGGCTGAGATCTGAGGATTGGTTTGAAGCCAGCCAGGCAGGAAAGTCCAATAAACCACTCAGAAAAGTCTGGAAGTGTTGCTCAAGTAGTAGAGGGCTAGGGGCTAGTATTGAGGTTGAGAAGCTCAGGGATATTGCCCAGGCTCTGAGTTAAAGCCCCAGGACGGAACAAAGAAAAGAAAACAAAAACAAAAAAAGAAAGAAAGAAAGAAAGAAAGAAAGAAAGAAAGAAAGAAAGAAAGAAAGAAAGAAAGAAAGAAAGAAAGAAAGAAATTAAGGCCTTCTCTTGGTATACAAACTAAAAGAAAGCATCTTTTCTATAAAAACAGCTCACAAACTGAAGTGTAGGTAAGCTGTACCTGGGAGTTCAAGTTTGCTCCAGGAAGCCCAAGTGCAGCAAGGGCAGGATCAAGAGTAGGAGCTCCTAAAGCAGCCAATGGAACAGCGCCAATCTGCAAACATTAAAGTTGTAATTTATGTCAATTTTATTTTTGCTTTTGTAATAGCAACAGTTGTTTTCTATAAAGGGACAGATAATAGTACAAAATATTCTATATTTATAAAATCTAGATTTTGAAAAGCAAATTGTTTCACTATATCCAGGTGCGCCAACTATATTTACTGCTTCTTAGAGACTCAAACCCACTTTCTTTCTGGCTTTGTACTACCAGTGCTAAGGACCATATAAAGTATTTTGGGAAATGCCATGTGTTAAAGCTTGTGTTTTTATTGACTTTTGTTGTACTTTTAAGTGGCACACTACCTGAACAGCCATCTACTTGAGCAGCTTTACTAGTTCTATGGGCACCTAAACTTCTCTATCTACTCTTTCAGAGATTTAATTCTCCACATATTAAGCAGGAAGCCTAAGTCCCTTGACTTACATATGTTTCTTCTGATTCACAGTAAGTATTGTTTCTCACACAATATTCTGGTATTCATTATATTTCCCGTAAGTAATCCCCTAACAGTTTACTCCTTATGTTAATGCTCATTGTGCATACTAAGGTGCAGTTTGGTGTCCTAATAAAGTGGACTAACCCATTATTTAAGTGACATGTAGAACTCTGTAATTTGAAGTCTTTCTCTAGAAGAAGTATGCTTTTTAGCTTTAGTTTCAATTAGTATTAAACTAATGTCTGGCAACCAAGTACTTTTATCCAGTTGGAATACAACCAAATAGGCACCTACCTGTGTAAGTGGGTTAGGTGTAGGCAGGAGTCCACCACCAGGCAGAAGACCTGCCACTGCATTAGCTGGTGCCAACAGAGACAAAGCCTTAGTCTCATCAGGAATAACTCCTGCAGAGAAACATCCATGCATGAGAACACACTCTCTTGTAAGACAGAAAACACACAAAAACACCCAGAAAATGTCTCCCTGATACACCACCTGAGTTTGCTGAAAGTACTTTATGTTCGCTAAAATATAAAGCTTGATCTCTATGATTATTTATTATTAATTTTATGTCAGAATGAAAACTTCAATGTGTGAAAATTTGTTTCCTTTTTCTCTACATATGGTTAAGTTTCTAGAATAAAAAAAAATAGCACAATACACACTACTTGTTTGTTAACACTGCCAAGATTTCATCACCTGTACTCGATTTTTAAGTCATGAACCAAACGTAAGCAAGCACAGTCGGTTCTCCAGGGGTGTGCTCTCAACTTTCAAAAGCTGTTTTATGAACAACGACTCGTGTCGGCTGCTTCACTATAAAGCACACAGAAAAATCAAGATACACAAGACAAAAAAAGTTTGATTTAGGGGTTAATAATATGGTACAGTTACTATGATTTTCTTTACACCTACCATACAAATTTTGTAAAATTTAAGAAAAGAAATGTAAAGGAAATATTCTGTTGGAATCAAGCGTAGGGCTTTTGCTGATTCATGAATACGAATGTTTCTGAAGGTCTCTGAATACACACTGGATGTGTGTGTGTGTGTGGGGGGAAGTGAGTGAGAAAGAGAGAACAGGTAAAATAACATGGCACATTCCTTACCTGTAAAATGCTTTATGTCCCCACATGTGCCATGCTAACCCATACCAAAAAATGCTGCTATACAGTGTCAGTTCAAAAGCTAACTTAGCCAAACTCCGTAAGCCAAAAATGACATATATGTCTGTTTTTAAAGCCTAATCTGTGTATTCAGATAAAATCTAAGGGTCCTAAGACAATTTATGTAGACAATTTAAATTCTATCCAACAGCAAAAGCCCTATACAGATGGATTAATCTGTTAATGTGCCCAAGCCCCCGAAATGAGAGTTCAATAATACAATTAAACTACATATTTGCAAATACCAGTAGTATTTCTGTAATACATATTAAGAAACTGCATCTCATCATAAAACATACAATATGTACAGGGCACTTAAGAGAAACTGGATAAGCTGCAGAAGAAAACTGTTGGGTGGTATTTTCAGCAGGGCCTGGTATATAGTTCAGGCTGAACCAGGGAAAAGAACTGTAAAACACAACAACAAAAAAGAAAAACCACTGTTAAATAAAGGTAATGGTTCCTTCCACCTATACTGAGAAGTGCCGATAATATAAACAAATGTATACTACACAGCACTGTTATCTTGCTTGTGTCAGAGCTGTCATCAATTTAGATACCAAGAGTTATGGAGGGGAGGGGGAGAAGATCATTTAGATATAGGGCATTAATGCATCAATATTAACAAACCTACGAAGATTAAGGGATAATTTTGCATGCAAAATTATGTCTCAAGAGGATATATTATCAACATCTTACTCAAATTAGTGCATTTGCAACATTTCTGGCAAACTAAAATCCTCTTGAATTTACTGTAAAACACCTGATAGAAGATCTGCATCCATTTAAAAAAAAGTCATGCATCTGATCCTCTGATTTAAAAAAGACTATTTAAAAATAAAACTACAATTTAAAAATAGCAATGAGGCCCCTCACCAGTTAATTTTCATGCGTCAAGAGTATTTTTTTTACTGCTGCTTTGATAGAACCATGAAATACTGCATGAATGTGTAGAAATGAAAGAAAAAAGAAACAGACAAAAGAAACAAACATTAACCAAGGAACCTAGATACCCCCCAAATCCATTACTATTAAGAGTCCCTTCAAAATCTAGCTATCTCATTCTTACCAATTAAGACTATACCTTACCGTATACTTTGTGTCTATTGTTCTAAAACACTGAGCAACCAACACCCAAGTGTAAGAGCTAAAACTGGAGTGAATGGTGACAAAGGGAGTGAATACATCAATTTACTTGAGGAGGTAACATTAATACAGCATATCATACTACAAATAAATACAACAAATATAAATTTCTAAGCTAAATATTTCTATCAATTCTACATATAATCCCCCAAACTTCACTTTCAAGACTAATCTACAAAAAACGACTGTGGTCTAATATTGCTTATAAAAACCAGTTATGATATACTGTACTATGTCCCAGGCTTGAGAACTATAATACTTAGCCAGTAAAGAATTGATTAAAATTAAAGATTAACTATAACATTTTGTAAATTACATTATATGACCTTTGTTATAAGACCTATCACCTGTATATTTTTCTCATCTTGAATCTGAATTCTGTAAATTTTTTTTTTGGTGGTCAAGTCTTATCACACAGCAGGCAGACTAACATAAAAGAAATTGCTGAACCCAAACATACTAACTCAAAAATCAAAATATCTATAAATCTATGAAATTGGGCTCAAACACTTTATTATGGAAATAGTTGTACTGTTATGATATAGCATGCCTTAACCCACCTCGAATATACTTTTGAAAACCAAAGGTAATTTTTTTGAGTTTAGACATTCCACAACTCTTACAAGGTATGGTGCAAATCTAAACATTTGTATTCAAAGATCGCATCTAAATTCAACAATTAACAAGACTGTTTCCACTGACCAGTTTACTAAAACAAGGGTAAGGCAGGTAAATTCTGGTCAGTATATTAATTTTTAAACTTAAAATCCAGTAAGTTTCTTATCATGTCAATGATTTCTTTGATAAAAATTTATAGTTACCAAAAAGCAAATCAAGTAGCAGTACACTGGGAACAAACTAATTATAAAATATGCCTTAGAAAATTTTACAAAATGGCATAATAGTGCTGTCTCGTCACAGTGGCATTTATAGGTCCAAAAAACCTGCATTTTTTTCTGTCAAATTACTTTAACAGCCTAAAATGTAAAAAGAGAGAAAATGTAGTTAACATATGGTTACACCAGGAAAACACTTGGGGGGCTTGAGTGCTTGCTGGCCTTTAGTTAATGTCTAGAATCCCCTGTAGCTGCAGAGGACCCACTGTTTTTCAGTCATCTGGAAGGGTTTTGCATTTGCCTTCTCCACTACAAAAATCACACACACAAATAACAGAGAGAAGAATTTATTATTTAGAGATATTCTAGAAAATATAACAAGAATGAACAAGAAAATCTGGCATAAATACAAAACACCCAGTGCCCATCTGGCACCTAAGCTACAGGAAATCTTCAATTTCCACCAAAAAAAAAGAAAAAAAAAAGAAAAAGAAAAAGAAAAAAAAAATCCATTGTAACCCTTGGTATACTGGAATACAAAGAGGGATTTCTTTTTTTTTTGCCCCAAGTTACCAATAGGAAGTTAGTACTGAAGAAATAAAAGTAACCTAGTCATTTATTTAAAAGAAAAACATCATCATGCATTTATTTGAAGGTTTCTGTGTTAGGTGTATATGGAGTGAACCATTTACCTTCAAGGACTTTAAAAATAAAACTTAACAATAAATTAAGTAGATCTTAGGGAGTCAAAATTAGGAATAAACTTAAAAATGTTTCAAAGAAAATAAAAGGTAAATATACCTGATTTCTAATTTTTAGAGTTAAAAAATACTGCAAGCAAAGATTTATGGACTGCAGTATAACAAGGGTTTCAAAATGTTAATAACTTAAGATTTTAACATGCTACTAATGCTCATTCTATAACTACACTGAGGTAGATGGTCATCTTATGATGCCCATATAGGTAGTTAAACAAAGCACAAACCTTCTGCATATGGTACGACTATCAAAGCTCTGTCAACGAATACAGTATTTGTCAGATGCTGTGCCACAACTGCTGAGTCTGGATCATGGAATTTAACAAAGCAGACACGAGATGAGACTGGCAAAGGTGAATCACTAAAAAGCAAAAACAGAATAGTGACATGAGAAAAATCTTACCAGCTAGAAAATAAATGTATAATACCTGTATCCTAAAAAAAAGGTATGAACATAGAACTGCATATATACTATTTTAACTTGTTCATTAAATAGTGTATCACCCTAACAACTACTTAAATTTATAATGTACCATGTTTTAAATGTTTTCAACATTCATGGGACAACAAAAATACAGAAAATTTCCAGAATAACATATATATATATATTTGGTCATGTGGAGGTTCTGAGGATCAAACCCAGAGCCAGGCAAATGCTCTACACAATGATCCACACCCCCTCCTATACTACTTATTTACTTAGTGGGTCGTAGGGCTTGAACTCAGGGTTTGGGTGCTGTCCCTGAGCTCTTTTGCTCAAGACTAGCACTTTACTACTTTCAGCCACAGCTCCATTTTTGGGTTTTGAGTGGTTAATTTTGAGATTTTTCACGGGGACTTTTTGGCCTGGGTTGGCTTTGAACCCACAATCCTCAATCTCAGCCTCCTAAGTGCCTGACATGCCATTTACTTTAACAGGTAACAAGTTAGTTTCAGCTTAGAAAGTTTTCATTATAGCTATTTTCTCAGAGTAAAACTGACATTTTAATCTCAAGAATAAAAGAATACGGTGATAAAGCAGCTATATGATGGCCACTTTCCCTGGCCTCTTTAATAAGGCAGTTCTTCTATACATTGAGCTTTTCCACATACAACTATGTTTAAGGGCTCATGGCCAATTTAAACAACTAAGGCTTTCTAGCCACTAGCACTTTCATAGAAAAAGAAATTAAGCACATATGGAGTACTTTAAGTGTTTAAATAATACCCCTCCCTACTATTTCCTTGAGTGAAAAGAGCCATTCCCTTCAGCAAATTGGTTCTTTTAGACAAAAGGAAAATAAGATATGGGATGCAAGATATGGCAGCTAAGATGACTAATACAAGGACTAAGTAGGCTTTTAAAAAAATATAAAAGAGAGATATACTAGTTATTGCAAATAAGGGAAAGCATGGGACCTATGTTTCTTTGGGCCTGGATTACTAGTACAAGTCTGAAACAAGCAGAAACGGTCTGATAAGTCGATGTTAGGTGATATGAACCCCAAGATAAGGATTCAAATGGTTTTTCTTTCTTGTGATTGTTTCTAACATATTTATAAGATGAATTTTTTTTTTTTGGTCAGTCATGGGGCTTGAACTCTGAGCTTGGGTGCTGTCCCTCAGCTCTTCAGCTCAAGGCGAGTGCTCTACCGCTTGAGCCACAGTTTTCTAGTGGTTTATTGGAGATAAGAGTCTCACAGACTTTTCTGCCAGGGCTGGCTTTGAACCGAGATCCTCAGATCTCAGCCTCCTAGTAGCTAGGATTACAGGCTTGAGCCACTGGCGCCCGGCAAGATGATTTTTTTGTTGCTTTGTATGCCCCTCCCCCACGGTACATCCCCTGTTTTCACTGTATTTGATGTTGGTATACTTTGTGGAGGGGAAGGGAAAAAACAAATTGTTTAAATAAATAGGGATACAGGCAGACCCGTTGCAACAATGAGATGTACAAGACGTTATGTCAGAAAAAGGAACTTTACAACTCTTTACCTTGCCCATGTAATTGTAACCCCTCTGTATGGTATTTTCACAATAAAGAAAAGTTAAAAAAATATATAAAAGAGAACCAGGGGTGTCAGTGGCTCATGCCTGTAATCCTAGTTACTCAGGAGGTTGAGATCTGAGGATCCTGGTTCAAAGCCAACCAGGCAGAAAGTCCATGAGACTTTAATCTCCAATTAACCACCAGAAAACAAGAAGTGGCACTGTGGCTCAAATGGTAAGGCGCTAGCCTTGATGTGAAGAGCTGAGGGATAGCGCCTAGGCCCAGAGTTCAAGTCTCATGGCCAACAACAAAAGGGGGCTGAGAATATAGCTTAGTGATAGAGTGCTTGCTAGCATGCAGGAAACCCTGAGTTCAATTCCTCAGTACCAAATAAACAGAAAAATCCAGAAGTGGCACTGTGGCTCAAGGGGTAGAGTACTATCCTTGAGCTGAAGAACTCAGGGACAGTGCCAAGGCCCTGAGTTCAAGCCCCAGAGCTGGTAATAGATAGATAGATATAAAAGATAGCCAGGCATTAGTGGCTCACCCCTGTAATCCTAACTAGGAGGATGAGATCTAAGGATCATGAGTCATTCAGACTCTTATCTCTAATAAACCACTCAGAGTGTAGCCTTGAGAAAAAGAATGCCAGGGATGATGCCCAAGCCCCAAGTCCCAGGACCAGCAATTACCCCCCTCCCAACTACCACAACAAAAAAATCCCCAAACATTAAATAAAAGGCAGAGGTTGCTTCCCAATCACACACCAAAAGTTATTTAAAAAATCAGTGCCCTAATGCGATGGAAACCATTTAATTCCTGGCCATCTGTGTGTTAACAGCTAGGTTTTCTACTTCCTGTCATCTAATTCAGTATTTCTGGTGGGTAAAGCACTTAGCCCATCCTTTTTAAATTCTTCCTGACAAGCCAACTGTATTTTAAGACTCAGTGATAAAAAGGAGATAATCTGATTATACATACATATAATATATATAATAGTGAAATTTTAAACTGTATAAATACCTTTAGTAGTCATACCCATTTGGAACTTACATAAATTTTCCTAAAGGAAAAAAGGGATCCTGCCTACTTCAGGTTCAAAGTGATACACAAGGAACTTAAGTCAGTATGTCATAGTCTTACTGTTAAATGTTTCTGAAAGGATTAAGACATACGTCCATAAATAATGTGAATTAGTACTACTCTAGAATTTAACAATGTTTCACTCAAAAAGAGCAAAAAGAATATTTAACATTTTTATTCAAACATTAAATTTGTTATTTTGTATATCTTTTCTAAAACATACATGTTTTTCTTTCTTAACACACTCAATACTATTATGTTCTAACACTTAATGCCTTAGGAAATAGTAAGATATTTCACAATCTTTAATACTATCATCAGATTAAAAGACAAAAAAGTTCTTAAAACTATATTATTATATATAACTAACATACATACGAAATTTTTTTTTTGGCAGTACTGGGTTTGAGTTCATTAGGCAGGCACTCCATCAATTGTGAGCTAGAGCCATAGTTTTTTTTTTTTAGTCCCTTTTCAAATACGGTCTCATTTTTGTTCAGTCTCTCCTGTAGCTGGGATTACAGGAAAGTACCTGGCAATAAACAGTTCTTCAAGCTGGGAACTGGTGGCTCACAACCTGTAATCCTAGCTACTCAGGAAGCTGAGATCTGAGGACTGGGTCCAAGCCAGTCGAGGCAGGCAAGTCCTAGAGAGTTTTACCTTCAATTAATGAAAACTAGAAGTAGTTCTGTGGCTCAAGTGGTAGAATGCTAGCCTTGAGTGAAAAAGCTAAGGAACAAACAGGGCCCAGGCCCTGAGAGCCAAGCCCCAGGACTAACAAAACAGTTCTTCTGTTTACCACCTACTGCTTTTCCATTTACTTTGGGCAAGAACCACTTCTAAAAATGTAAATGTCTTTACAGTCTATATTCACGGCCACTAAAATGTGAGAACCTCTGGGTTAGGCCACTATACAGTAGGCTTTCTCAAATCCTACCTTAAATTTGAGTGGATCATTTCTAAGGAAAATGATCCCCAAACAGCACCTGCCTTGTTCCTTATTATATAAGAAGTACACAGTAAAATGTTGCATTGTAAAAGGAATTTAATTTTAAAAGATCATTAATGTACTTGATTGGTTACTCAAAAGCTATTAAGGATCTTAAATATATCTACATTGCAAAAGAAGTTTAGCTTACTATAACAAGACCCCAATTGCATGCTTCACTGGACTAATTATTTGATAAGCATTTCAGTTATAATCTCTTATTGGAAATCACACTAAATCCATATACTTAATAATTACCCATGCCCCTCACCTGTATCCCACCACTTCAAAGACAGAGGCAGAAGGACTGTTTGAGATGAGTCTGAGCCACACAGCAAAAGACCCCATCTCTAAAAACCCAGGTGTGGGGGTTGTAGCTTAGTGGTAGAGCAGCTTCCCCAACATATGAAGTAATTTAACATTTTTGGAATGAAATGTCCTTTTGGACTGCTGCTAGTTGGTAACATATTATCTGACAAACTACTGCTGAAACTCTAAATTGTCAAGAAAGTATTCCCAGTTTGAACAGGTCAGACTAACTATTCAGACTAATAAACAAAACCCAACATTAAATAAATAAAAGCAGTCGCTTACAATATTGGTCAAATCTGAAAGCCCATTAGAGATAATGCAGTATCCTCTATATTGTACATATCCTCTAACTTGTACATTTTCAGAAGGAAATGATATCTATGTAGAACATAAAGGATGGAGCTAAACAGCAAAAATATGTCAATAATATATTCCCTTGGGAAAGGAGTCTTCTGAATGCATACATAGTAACTTACATGTTGTGAACGGTTGAGCAATTCCCCAGCAGCTATTCTGGTTATAATGAAATTATTCATTTTACTACAAAGGAAAAAGCCAGACTCTGGTCCATCACAACTTTCTCCAAGACACTGTCCATTGATAGGTTAAAAACAAAAAACAAAACCGGGATTTGGTGGCCCCTGCCTATAATACTAGCTACTCAGGAGGCTGAGATTTGAGGATTACAGCTCAGAGACAGCCCAGGGAAAAGTACCTAAGACTCTTTAACTCTAATAAACTACTCAGAAAATGCCAGAAGTGGTGCTAACTTTGAGCAAAAGAATCTCAGGGACAACACCCAGGCCCCGAGTGAGACTGGCCAAAAAGGAAAGTTAGTAACTTCCATGCCTAGAAAGAATGTTACAATTCAG